TATATGACAATATGAAAAGCAAACAAGAATAGGTAAATAAAAAAGAACAAAGATATATATTCGTTCTATTAACATCTTTTAACAACCAACTTTGAAAATAATTTATTCACGGGTGGGAAAGATGATTGTAATTTAACATTTAATATTATTAGTTCTCGTTTAAACTTATATGTTAACTTATTTTAAATATATTATTATAATGTCGATAGGTAAAACGCGGATTAAAACTGAACCAACCCTCAATTTATGGTTTGGTTTGAAAAATAAAATGGTTTGGTTTGATTTGAAAAAATTCCAAACCGCATCAAATAATTTGAGTTGAAAATATGGCACAAACCACCCTATCCGAACCGTGTTCACCCCTAATTACACGGTTATTATTATGTACAGCACACGCATTAGTAGTCAATAATAAAAAAGTATTTAATAATTAAAATTAACTAAATACCAAAATATAAAAAAAATTGACTTAAATTAGGATAGAAAGCGCCTTCATCAGATGATTCAGATTGCATTAAATTACAGAATTAAAATTAAAATAACAAGTGATTAAATTAGAAAGATTGTGAAATTCAAAAAATTATGAAACCAAATTTTATATATTGCATTGCACGTAGTGCAGTATTAGATTATTGTTATATTGGTCAGGAAACATAGTTAATGAACACTTTAGACTTTGTTTGGGAATAATTTTGTAAAAATAAATTTTCTTTTAAATTATTTAAATCACATTTGTGGACAAAGCATCAAGCTTACTTGCTGACAATTGCAAATGACCTACGAATTGCATTAGGGGTACTTTAATCCATAATCTACAAGAAGCAAAGACAAAAGTGAGACGATTTTGAATCCACTATCGAATAAGTTTGACACCATTGAAAATATTTTAAAAGGACAAGTGGAACAATTGTGCGCTCAACTATAAGAGTGTAAGAAACACACCAATTAGATGAGATTCGATAGAAGAAAAGCATATAAAATATTTGAAGAAGTTGTGCGAGGGGATGGAGAAGTAAGCTTACTGTTTTTATTTTTACTTCTACTTTTAGGTTATGATTGGCACATCGAATATGGTGAATTAAGGTAGATAATAATTTTTGCTTTTTTCATTGCAAAAAATAGTCAATTGTAATATCAAGAGTAGAAATCAGTTCGATGAGAGTTTAGATCGAGTAATAAAACAAAGGGTGGTTATATTTATACTACATTTTGGACTGAAAAACACTATCGAGGACAATGATCTAATTAATGAAATGTGATTGATAAAAAAGTTAAGAGACATAATTGTGATAATTGAAACATGTTATGAATCTTTCTTGCAATCAAGTTATGGTCTACTTGTAAAAGAAGTATGTGTCAATATATCTAGTTTAAAAGATATAGTAAATGATGTTCTTTTGAGCACGTCTGAGCATTTTAACCGAAAATGAATCTCTCGAATCGAATTGAAATTGGAGGTTCCGATCGGGTTCCCAAAACAATGAAAATCGAGAACCGACTGAATTCGGATCGATTCTTGGTTCTTGAACTAAAATTGTGGGTATTCGAATGAAATCAATTTTTTATATAATTTTTTATTTGCAATTTGTAGTCTAGGCTTAAAAAAAAGGAAAAAAAAATTACAAAACCTAAAACCCCAAGGATAGTAATTTATCTAAAACTCTAAACTCAAATCTCAAGAAATCAAGATTGGATTCTATTTTGTCTCTCGCATGTGATTGTTGCATTTAAGAGATTACTACATATTAATCTTTGCAATTTGGGCTTCTTAGGAAAAAAAAAGTTTAAGCTAGAATGTGGTGTAAGTTGATGAATCAATGCATTCATTCTTTACGATTCAAGTTTTTACTTTTTTGTATTGTTTACAAACTCAAGAGATTTTTAAAACTTTTTATAACGTATGGCAAGTGAACTTTGATATATTCATAGTTTGGATAATGGTGTACATTTTTTGTTATCTAGAGTTCATGGTTCTTTTGAAAAATAATTTTTCTGTTTTATTCAAATAAAGCGAGTTCAACATTTGGATTGCAATTTTTTGATACTATATAGTTATGTATCTAATTAATATTTTTTTTAACGACATTTCTTTTTAAGAGTATAATAATTTAAATATTGTCTACAATTAAATTACAGGCTCTAGCATGCCTCACTTATGGATCGAATAAGATTTATTAGGAAAAAATAATTTCTTCTCAAGCTTTAATTTAATTTTTGACGTTTTAAGTTTCTCTCCTTTTCGTGCTTTTTAGTTTCCACTATTTTGTTTTTTGAAGATTTCTTAACTAAATTTTCTTTCTTGTACAAATATTGTT